AGTGTGCTGTCGCAGAATGGGGTGAGCGGTTGGGGTCTCATAACAATGTACGTTAAAAAAAAATTCTGTATGGGAGACTAACTTAAAATGTAAACTTCATTTAATTACAACAACAACAACAAAAATGGTTGCAGCAGTACATCCACAGGGAACTGCCAGAAATTCAAGTTGGTTCAGAAGAGAATGTAGAACGAGGAGTATCCTTGCTGATGTCAGATGAATCTTGGCTTAAAGGAGAAAATACTAGAAAGATGTTCACCTGTGTTTTATTGACTACACAAAGGTATTCGACTGTGTGAATCATAACAAATTATGGATAACATTGTGAAGAATGGGAATTCCAGGGATTTCAGCTCATGAGAAACCTGTACATAGACCAAGAGGCAGAGAACAAGGGGATACTGAGTGGCTTAAAATCAGGAAAGGTGTGCATCAGGGTTATATCCTTTCACCCTACCTATTCAATCTATATGCTGAGCAAATAATCCAAGAAGCTGGACTATATAAAGAAGAATGCAGCATCAGGATTGGAGAAAGACTCATTAACAACCTGCGATATGCAGATGACACAGTTTTGCTTGCTGAAAGTGAAGAGGACTTGAAGCACTTACTGATGATCAAAGACCACAGCCTTCAGTATGGATTACATCTCAGCATAAAGAAAACAAAAATCCTCATAACTGGATCAATAAGCAACATCATGATAAATCGAGAAAAGAATGAAGTTGCCAAGGATTTCATTTTACTTGGATCCACAATCAACATCCATGGAAGCAGCAATCAAGAAATCAAAGGACACATTGTATTGGGCAAATCTGCTGCAAAAAGCCTCTTTAAAGTGATGAAAAGCAAAGATGTCACCTTGAAGACTAAGGTGCACCTGACCCAAGCCATGGTGTTTTCAATCACCTCATATGCATGTGAAAGCTGGATGATGAATAAGGAAGACTGAAGAAGAATTTGAGTTATAGTGTTGGTGAAAAATATTGAGTATACTATGGACTGTCAGAAGAATGAACAAATCTGTCTTGGAAGAAGTACAGCCAGAATGCTCCTTAGAAGCAAGGATGGCGAGACTTCACCTCACATACTTAGGACGTGTTGTCAGGAGAGACCAGTCCCTGGAGAAGGACATCATACTCGGTAAAATAAAGGTCAGCAAAAAAGAAGACTCTCAACGAGATGGATTGACACATTGGCTACAACAATGGACTCAAACATAGCAATGATTGTGAGGATGGCTCAGGACCAGGCAGTGTTTCTGTCTGTCGTACATAGGGTCACTATGAGTCAGTACCGACTTGATCACACCTAACAACAAGAACAACATATTCAGTAGGATACAGGGGAAAAAACTTGTTTATTTGGATGACAGTGAGGCACGGGAAGGATTTTCAGCATCCAGCAATAGCTTAGTACAGTTCCCCAATCCCTCTTGGTTCCACAAAGACACAGTGACCACCAGATCCAGAAATCAGTGACTTAAACATGGGTGGCCTCATTAAGTCCAAGGTACAGCTGTCTGACTTTTCAGTCACCATATGTAGCATCTTTTTTGCATATAAAACATGACTAGTACTTATTCCACTTAGCAGGATATGTAACTTATTTATACCCTTGGATGACTGCCTTTGTGGGGTTCATAATCTGGGTGTTTCCTAAACAGGAACCTCCTCTATGGGCAGACGTACATTAAATAGGCATTCAACATTTACTTAGAGAAGAAGCTGAATGGAGGAAGGGCAGAGGTTGACTAGAATGGTGGCACTCAGCCTCCTTAATACCATTCCATGCTATTCAGCTCTGGCCCAAACTTACATTTCTCACTTAGCAAAATAAAACATGAAATTAACTGACTTAGAAGACTTGCAATATCAGTAAGACACCAAGGTGTCACGGGCTCTGATCACGCTATGAAAAATAGAACTTTTACCAACCTTAGATTGTAATAGCAGAAGATGCAGGATTGGGACCAGACCAGCCAGTGCAACCACCAAGCACCAGTATGAGCTCAGAAGAGTGTGTTACCCAATCTCCCATGCTGCTTCCCACCCCCCAGGCAACCAGTCCACCACCAACTGCCCTGTAGTCATTTTGGAGAGGAGCAAGGGGAAAGAGACAGAAATCTGAAAAAAAAAAAAAATCTAAAGGGTTGGTTTAAATTATTGTTTCAGAGTAAATTTAACATATTGGACTAAATTTAGTTTTACTTTCCTGGTGGATAGGGCTTTTAAGAGAGATCAAACTAGTCTTTGCACATAGCAAAAGGAGCCCTGGTGGCATAGTGGTTAAGCGTTTGGCTGCTTATCAAAATGTTGTTGGTTCGAGCCCACAGCCGCTCTGCAGGAGAAAGATGAGACACTCTGCTTCCATAAAGATTTACAGCCTTGGAAACCCTATGGGGCAGTTCTACTCTGTCCTATAGGGTCGCTATAAGTCACAAGTGACTTGACAGCAGCGGGTGCACATGGCAAAACAGATATACTTTTTCCAGAATGCAAGAGTACGTATTTCTGCGCCACTGTTATCTTTGAATTATCAGTCCAAAATAATTAACTATCATTTCACTTTGAATAAAGACTAGAACTTATGGTTTTTTGTATTAACACAAAAATAGTCTCTTAAAATCATAATTATTTTTCCTTTATGTTTTAGGAATGAGATGAATACATAATATACATTGGAATAAATATAACTTTTAAATATTTATAATTAAACTTGTTTATCTTCCAGATGTCATTATGGTCACCTTCTCTACACAGCCTTTCCAGAACCCACCTTCTACCTCCCTCCCATGAACCAGAGAAAATTGACCTCCTCTGTTCAGGTCTTCTCAGATCCCCAAACCCACCACCACCACACACACACACACACACACACACACACACACAAACACACACAAATACACCTTGAAATATCCCCAATTGCAGAGCCTATAGGGCCCCTGGGCAAACTAACTCGTCGGAGAAATTTCTTTGAAGTCTTACATTTTGCCTTGGAAATGCATACACGTTATATGTTTGTGTTTGCTTTACAATAAATGTTTTAAAATTAATTACCATGTGAATAATTAAAGCTTTAAAAAAGCATTCCAAAGCAATCCGAAGGGCTTCCATATGTCTGGAATATCAAGCAAATGAGTCTAGCTAAGCACTGGAATCGCTAACTTGTCTATCTGTGGCGTCTCCCTCTCCCAAACTGTTTTACGTTCATCTGTCTCTGGGTCTTCAGTGCCTGGCACAGTGCCTGACATGCAGCAGGAACTCATTAAGTGCTTATGTCATAAGATGCTCTCCTGGAGTGGATTTTACGGGTGAAGTGAGAGCATACTGCTTAGTCAGTGGAAACAATAAATCGCAATAACTCAGAAGAGGGTGACTAGGAAGTTAAACAGTCTTAAACAGAATTAAGACATATATACATTTTATCTTTTGGGCTCCTACCTTTCCCTTAGAGTTATCCAGTGACCCAAAGTGCCTAATCGGCACCTCGTCCTGTCTCCATGGCACTACATCAAAAATCCCATTTCCTCTAGGCCTGGTCCTTAGCTATAAGTGCCAAAAACCAAACCCACTGCCCTCCAGTTGATTCTGACTTGTAGCGACCCTGTAGGACAGAGTAGAAGTGCCCCACAGGGTTTCCAAAGCTGTACCATCTTTTTCCTGAGGAGCAGCTGGTGAGTTTGAACCACCAAACTTTCAGTTAGCAGTTGAGCGCTTTGACCACTGAGCCACCAGGGCTTCTCAGCTGTAAAGGAGGACATGTTACATCAACTCAAAGCAAGATTTTAATAGTGTATCACAGTGTATATGGATATCTACATTTAAAAAGAAATCTAACCCTTTAATACCGAAAAAGTTCAGTAAGGAAGTATTACTTCAAGCACAGCTAATAAGCATGTTGGGAATTTATTCTGGAGCAGAGGGTTTTTCTAGTGCTCCTCAAATCACATCCCATAGATGCCTCTTCTGCCTTAGGTTATAGCTAGGCCCCACAGAAAGCCCATTTTGAAAGAAAAATAAACAAATAAAGGGACTAACACTCTTTCAGGCTTTATTATTTCATCAATAAATTTCTTCATCTACTTGACTTTCAGTGAAGTTAATGCAGTAGCCCTTGTATAATTTTGTATGTCTGTTCCAATTTCCCCCTTTTCCCTCAAATTTCCTTTAACACTTACTTTTTATATCCATTTCTAGGTGCAAAGAAACGTGGATACAGCTATTCAGGCCTTCTGTAATTCTACAAGAATGGTTTATAGAATTTTCCTTGGCTGAATCTTCCACCATGATTGCTGACTTTCTAGTGTGGGTATTTAGATTACAGGTAATGTTGTATTCCTCCAAGGGGTCAACTATCGAAGCTACAGTGAAGTTAAAATGTTGACAAGGTAAATGAAAATCACTTGCTTTCACATTCATTGATTCTCTCATGACAAGAACTGGAAAGAGATTAAAAAAGCATTATTAGCAAAATTGTAATGAAAATTGAGAAAACACAGCTACTCAAAACTAAATTTCCTCCTTCCTATACAAGAAAGTAGAAAAAACAAGTTAACTCCACTAAAAGTAACAACCAAAATTATTTTTTAAGATAGTGAGAACCAGGTGCCCAAAACCAGAAACCAAACCTGTTGCCGTCGAGTCAATTCCGACTCATAGCAACCCTATACGACAGAGTAGAACTGCCCCATAGGGTTTCCAAGGAGCGGCTGATGGATTCTAACCACTGACCATTTGGTTAGCAGCTCAACACTTAACCTATACAAGGAAGTAGAAAAAACGAGTTAGCTCCACTAAAAGTAACGACCAAAGTAGCATATGTTTTTTAAGACAATGAGAACCAAGTGACCAAAACCAAAGACCAAACGTGTTGCCGTAGAGTCAGTTCCAGCTCATAGCAACCCTACAGGACAGAGCAGAACTGCCCCATAGGGTTTCCAAGGAGCAGGTGGTGGATTCTAACTGCTGACATTTTGGTTAGCAGCTCGATGCTTAATCACTGGGGTTGGAACAACCCAAAGAAAATATACAGACATTTCCCTGATGACTTGTTGGACAGATTTTAGTTTCCCAAATGTTTACAACAATATTTCCCTTTTCATTTGTTACCGTAAAACCACCACAGCTCCCCTACCTCTACCCCCACCCCCCATTAATAGGTGGAGTCTAATACCTTTCCCTTTGAATCTGGAAGGATCTGTAACTTGTTTGTAACAAAATAATGTACAAGAATTGACATTGCATGACTAGGTCAGAAAAGGCAAAGCAATTTCCACCTCGACTATTGCACACTTACACGGAGCCTTGAGTCACTATGTAATAGGCTGCAACTTAAGGCCGCCATGCTGTGAGGAAACCCAAGTTAACCCAAGTGGAAAGTTCACGTAGAAAAACTCTGAAACCACATGAAGTGAGACACTCACCTGCCTCAAGCTACTTCAGTCTCTCAGTTTTAGCCCTTATCACTATCTCTAACAGTATGAGACACCCCAAGCCAGAAATGCCCAGCTATGCCCATCCTGAAATCCTGACCCACAGAAAACAACAGATAATAAAATGATTGCTATTGTTTTAAGAGAATGAGTTCTGGGGTGACAGCTATAGCAACTGTGACAACTTGTCAATGCACTGTTTTCACTTTTCAAGAAAGCAGGGAAGTAGCACCCATGAGCTGCCAACCCTTAAAACGTTTCCCAACTCTCTATCATCGTAGGGGTATTTCCCTAATTTGCTTTCTGCCGAATTCAAACCAGAACCCTGGAATAGTTAAAGTACTACCTGAGTAAGAACTCAGAGAATGACAATGGTACTTCATCCAAAATCAATGCAAAAAACTCTTGTTCTCATTGTTAAATAATAGAAAAAATGCAAACATGGAATGATGCAAGAAGCAACCTGGCTGAAAAAGGTATAAGCAATAAATTTGATACCTAGGCTTGAGACCACCAGTGTATTTTATTACCATAAATGAATTATTTAATTTCTCAATGATCCAATCTGATTCAATTGAATTAAATAATATATGTTGATCTCATAATAAATGCAGGGTTCAGCTAGGTAGGCATTACAGTTAATACTTATTTTTTTATTTGTTCATCCATTTGACAAATATTTATTGAGTGCCTACTACGTGTCAGGCATTAGGCTATGAGCTAGAGACATAGTAGTGAATTAAAACAAAGTCCTTGTCATCAAAAAGCTTGTTGGAAGGCAAGGTCATGGAAGCTCCATAGACATATCCAAACTCCCTGAGGAACCAAATTGTTGGGCAGAGGGCTGGGGGGATCATGGTATCGGGGAACATCTAGCTCAACTGGCATAACATAGTTTATAAAGAAAATGTTCTACATTCTACTTTGGTGAGTATCGTCTGGGGTCTTAAAAGCCTGTGAGTGTCCATCTAAGATACTCCGCTGGTCTCACCCCTTTGGGAGCAAGGGAGAATGAAGAAAACTAAAGATGCAAGGGAAAGATTAGTCCAAAGGACTAATGGACCACAATTACCACGGCCTCCACCAGACTGAGTCTAGTACAACTAGATGGTGCCCAGCTACCACTACTGACTGCTCTGACAGGGATCACAAATGAGGGTCCCAGACAGAGCTGGAGAAAAATGCAGAACAAAAGTCTAACTCACAAAAAAAGACCAGACTTACTGGCCTGACAGAGACTGGAGAAACCCCAAGAGTATGGCCCCCCAACCCCCTTTTAGCTCAGTAATGAAGTCACTCCTGAGGGGTTCATCCTTCAGCCAAAGATTAGACAAGCCCATAAAACAAAATGAGACTGAAGGGGCACACCAGCCCAGGGGCAATGACTAGAAGGCAGGAGGGGACAGGAAAGCCGGTAACAGGGAACCTAAGGTGGAGAACGGGAGAGTGTTGACATGTCGTGGGTTTACTAACCAATATCATAAAACAATATGTGTACTGACTGTTTAATAAGAAGCTAGTTTGTTCTGTGAACCTTCATCTAAAGTACAATAAAAATAAATAAATATATATATATACACACACAGCAGAACATACACCAATTCAACAATTTCTACATGAAATGACATTGATTACATTCCTCAAATTGTGCAACCATTCTCCCCTCCCTTTCCTAATTGTTCCTCCCCCGTTAATATAAACTCACTGCCCCCTAAGATTCCTGTCTAATCTTTCAGGCTGCTGTTACCATTTGATTCCATACAGATAGCTCTGAAAAGAGTACGATGCTCAAGGTAGACATTCTTTACTAAATAAGCTAAATTATTGTGGTTTTAAGATGACTTCAGGGGATATTTTTGGTTTAAGGTTTAAAGATTATCTCAGAGCAATAGTTTCAGAGGTTCATCCAGCCTCAGGCAACAGAAGAAAGGAAATAATAAAGATTAGACCAGAAATAAATGCAATAGAGACTAGGAAAAAGAAAAGCTTGTTGGAGAGTCAGACAAGTAAAAATGTAACTCGTCCATAGTGTGATAAATGTTAGGCAGGAGCAGGCACAAATGCATCAAGGATTCAATGACTCCTTGGAGAACCAGAGCTTGATTTTCTATGAGAACCTACAGTTTTACTTAGAATTATTTTGAAAAAATTCACTACCCTCAAAGGCAGTATGCTACATAATTCTTTAACCATTAAACATATGTGAATTACAATGACATTCTGGAGTATTTCAAGAATAGATTTTTGTTTTCAATAAATCAAAGTAAACGAAGAAAGAGTAATATCCTAAAGCTTGCAAGTTACTTATCAAGAACCACACCACTGAGTATTCCAATGCCTTTAGGTTTAAAACTGAAATATATTATTAAGACTTTTTTTAACAGAATAAGTGAATTATCCCTGATAAATTGTCTTCTCACTTTTTGTTTACCTTTTGATGTTTGTTCCTGAGAAATAAAATCCATGTTTCCTTTGGACTCACAAACCAAACATGAGGAGCACATTTTAAATTCGCTCATGATGTCTTGGCAAAGCTTGGTGAAGTTTTGAAAGCTGGACTGATTTAGAAAGATCCCTCTAATAATCTGACCTTCCCTTACTGGTTGCAGAAGGGTCATGAAAGAAAAGTTCAACACGGAGAGTGAATAGGTGAAATTATGTTGTAAACACACTTCCAGACATGATAGCTCCAACACATTTCCTGCAAAAACACAAACAAAAACTTCCTTTACTGTGAAATCTTGAACTACTAACCATCAAATAAAACCACAGTAAAGAATCAGTTTTCCTTAAGCAGATTCAGTGGCTTTCAGTTTATCAGTGACAATACTTTATTTTCACATGCATCGACTATATCTACTACGTTTAAGTATTTCTTTTAAAAACTTGTCAGTATTCTCTATTAACTTTTAGAGAACAAAGTTCCTCATAGAGAAGTGTTTGGAAACCAACACATTTTAATTATTCCCTATTCTGGAAAAAAAATTTTTTTTTTAATTTATTTTGTTGTCCTTGAGAATATACACATCAAAACCAAATCCCATGAGGTTTTTGGTTGTACAAAAACCGCCTCAGCAGCTACTCTTTTTTTTTTTTTTTGGTCATTGTAAAAATATCTATCACACAACTTTTGCCAATTTAACTTTTATAAGTTATTCGAGGGAGATTTTAATGAACAAACTTGAGGTTTCTCTGAATCAGTCTATTCCAAAATAAAGACTCAAGTCAACTGCATGGAGTTGGACAGGGGATTGAAAATGTGAACAGTACTTGTGTATTAGTTTCCTGTGGCTGCTAAAATAAATTACCACAACCTTGGTGACTTAAAACAACAGAAACTTATTCTCTCACAGTACTGGACGCCAGAGGTTCAACCTCAATTTCACTCATCTGATACTAAGGGAGGGCTGCGCTCCCTCCAGAGGCTCTAGGCGAGAACCTGTTTCTTTGCTTTCTAGCTTCTGATCTGCTGGCTGCCGAATTCCTTTCCTTGTGGCCACAGCACTTCAGTCTCTGCCTTCGTCTTCACATTGCCTCCTCCTCTTCTGTGTGTGTCAAATCTCCCTCTTCCTCTCTCCTGTCAGGATACTTGTGATTGTATTTAAGGCCACTCAGATAATCCAAAATAACCTCCCCATTGCAAAATCCTTAATTTAACCACATCTGCAAAGACCCTTTTTCCATATAAGGTAACATTTACAGGTACAATTTAAGGTAACATTTGTTGTTGTCGTTAGCTGTTGTTGAGTTGGCCCCTGATTCATGGAGACCCCATGTGTTACATAGTAGAAATGCTCCATAGGGTTTTCTTGGCTGTAATCTTTCCAGAGATTAAAACAAAACCAAAAAAAAAAACATACCTGTTGCTGTCAAATCCATCCTAACTCTTAGCGGGTCCCATAGGACAGAGTAGAACTGCCCCATAGGGTTTCCAAGGAGCGGGTGATAGATTCGAACTGCTGACCTTCTGGTTAGCAGCCAAGCTCTTAACCACTGGGTTACCAGGGCTCCTATGGAGCAATTCTGTTCTGTCACATGGGGTCACTGTGAGTCAGAATTGACTCAACAGCACCTAACAACAGCAAAAATCATTACGAAATCCTTTCTTCCTCAGAGTCATTGGGTGAGTTTGAACCACCAACCTTTAGGTTAGCAACCAATTGCAAACCACTTGTGCCACCCAGGCTTCTTTACAGGACCTGATATCTGCGGATGGCCATTATTCAGCCTACTGCAACCTCCAGAGATGAAATTTAACAGGGTGACATCATGATTTTTATTTTTGTCTAAAGACAAACATGACACATGGAAATGATGCTACAATGGAAAGAATACTGAGTTCAGAAACAAAAGACAAAACTCTAGTGCTATATCAGTAACTACCCAAGATACTTGGATAATTTACTTAATCCGCAGGAGTTTAGTTTTCTCATCTGCAAAACAGAGATAATTCTGGCTTCTGCTAACCTCATGTAGTTATAGTAGCATCAAGCAGTATAATATATATGAAAATACCTTTGAAATTTGTACAAATGTATGCTATTTAAAAAATGCAAATGCATAGTCCAAGCTATAAACAAAAGTTGAAAAATATCATCCTTCATTTAGAATAGGATTATCTATGCTTCGATTGTACACAAAATCAAAGTTCTGTATATAAAAATTGGGAATTCTTATTTAGGAGTAATGATCAAATAAGGAATATGTAGCCTCTCTCAGATTTTCCCAGTCTAAGAGTTACTTGTTAGCATGAGAAAACAACTAACACGGTTAATTCCATCTTTATGTGGCTTTCTTTACCATGTAGAGCAAAATATAATCTTAAGATTTCTAAACAATATGGAGTACAATAAAATATTATTTCAGGCTTGCATCTTGGTTCAAACTTAAAAGAATATCAAGCCACTGATTCATATATAATCAATGATTTTATTTACTTTACAAAATATTTTTTTTATTGTGCTTTAAGTGAAAGTTTACAGTTCAAGTCAGTTTCTCATACAAAAATTTATACATGCATTGCTATGTGACCCTAACTGCTCTCCTTGTAATGTGACAACACACTCCTTTCCACCCTGGATTTCTCATGTCCATTCAGACAGCTCCTGTCCGTTTTTGCCTTCTCATCTTGCCTCCAGACAGGAGCTGCGCATTTAGTCTCCGGTATCTACTTGAGCTAAGAAGCACTCTCTTCACAAGTGTCATTTTATGTCACACACTCCAGTCTAATCTTTGTCTGAAGAGTTCGTTTCAGTTCTGGGCTAACGGAGGGTCCGGGGGCCATGTCTTCCGGGGTCCCTCCAGTCTCAGTCAGACCATTAAGTCTGGTCTTTTTACTAGAATTTGAGTTCTGCACCCCACTTTTCTTCTGCTCCGTGAGGGACTGTTGTGTTCCTTGTCAGGGCGGTCATTGGTGGTAGCTGGGCACCATCTAGTTCTTCTGGTCTCAGGCTGATAGAGTCTCTGGTTTTTGTGGCCCTTTCTGTCCCTGGGCTAATATTTTTCTTGTGTCTTTGGTGTACTTCATTCTCCTTTGCTCCAGGTGGGTTGGGACCAATCGATGCATCTTAGATGGCCACTTGCAAGCTTTTAAGACCCCAGACTCCACTCACCAAAGTGGGATGCAGAACGATTTCTTAATAAACTTTGTTATGCCAATTGACCTAGATGTCCCCTGAAACCATGGTCCCCAGATCCCTGCCTCTGCTACTCTGTCCCTCGAAGTGTTTGGTTGTATTCAGAAAACTTCTTAGCTTTTGGTTTAGTCCAGTTGTCCTGACTCCCCTGTGTTGTATGTTGTCCTTCCCTTCACCTAAGATAATTCTTATCTACTATCTAGTTAGTAAAAACCCATCCCCCTCTCTACCCACCCTCATAACCATCAAAGAATGTTTTCTTCTGTGTTTAAACCATTTCTTGAGTTCTTATAATAGTGGTCTCATATAATATTGGTCCTTTTGTGACTGACTAATTTCACTCAGCATAATGCCTTCCAGATTCATCCATATTATGAGATGTTTTGCAGATTCATCCTTGTTCTTTATCGTTGTGTATTATTGCATTGTTTGAATATACCATAATTTATTTATCCATTCATCCATTGATAGGCACCTAGGTTGTTTCTATCTTTTTGCTACTGTGAACAGTGCTGCAATGAACATGGATGTGCATATATCTATTCATGTGGCGGCTCTTATTTCTCTAGGATATATTCCAAGGAGCAGGATTGCTGGATCATATGATACTTCTATTTCTAGCTTTTTAAGGAAGCACCAAATCGATTTACAAAATGGTTGTACCATTTTACATTCCCAGCAATGGTGTATAAGTGTTCCAGTCTCTCCACAACCTTTCCAACATTTATTATTTTGTGTTTTTTGGATTCATGCTAGCCTTGTTGAGGGGAGATGGTATCTCTTTGTAGTTTTGATTTGCATTTCTCTAATGGCTCATGATCGTGAGCATTTCTTCATGTGTCTGTCAGCCACCTGAATATCTTCTTTGGCGAAGTGCCTGTTTATATCCTTTGCCCATTTTTTAATTGGGTTATTTGTCTTTTTGCTGGTGAGGTTTTGCATTATCTTGTAGATTTTAGAGATTAGATGCTGATCAGATTTGTCATAGCCAAAAATTTTTTCCCAGTCTGTAGGTTGTCTTTTTACTCTTTTGGTGAAGTCTTTTGATGAGCATAAGTGATTTTTAGGGGCTCCCAGTTATCTAGTTTGTCTTCTGGTGTTTGTGAATTGTTACTTATGGTTCGTATTCTGTTCATGCCATGTATTAGGGCTCCTAGTGTTGTCCCTATTTTTTCTTCCATGATGTTTTACCGTTTTTGATTTTATATTTAAGTCTTTGATCCATTTTGAGTTAGTTTTTGTGCATGGTGTGAGGTATGGGTCTTGTTTCAGTGTTTTGCAGATGGATATCCA